AGACTTAGGTTTCTTTAGCAAATTTTACATCTTTCACTCTGATGAAGGTTTTCTACTGCAGGGAGGTTACAACCCCATCTGGATCTCTTGATAACATGTCGCCAAAGAAAAAGCTACGTACCTCTGTTGCCATTCTAGCCAAGAAGAATCCAGTGCTGAAAGATAAACTCAACTTTCCTAACATGGAAAAATCAAGACTTTTAACACTGATGAAGCAGACGTAAGGCTTCCCAAAAGAGTTGTTTTTCTAGTCTTGATATTCTTTTAGTAGGTTGTTCTAGTTTTGATTTTCTTCACCTCATTGCAGTATGGACTGGTGGAAACCTCAAACATGCAACAATCCTGATTCTCTCGAAGATATTCCAGTAGTACCGTACCTTTGTGGCGCACCATCCTCTTTAGAAAACGAATTCAGTGAAACAGGGCAAAGGACGAAGGTTGATAACTGCAAAATAAAGGAAATCAATGATCCATCTGAGTGTAATGCACTGGTTCTTCCTGATTATTGTTCAGGAGGAAAGGTATGGCTACTTTCTCGGAAATCTTTTGAAATTTGTCAGGCTTACATTTAGACTTTTAGTTGATCCTTAGAAGGGCAAAAGAAGTCATCTTCTCTGATAAATATTATTTCTCTTAAGGTGATTGAAATGAGAGTAGCACCTACACTAGTAGTCCTAGACAGATATTGAGTGACAATGCTGTCTGTTGATTCATATAGTCAAACCTGTCATCTATATTCTTCAATTTTTTTGGGATCTCATTGGTTTTGTTGACTTTGCTAGATTGCACGTTTGACTTATTCCTTTTCTGGAGATTACATACTTGCTTTGGCAGAAGACGGCACACATAAACTCTGGACTTGGTCGAGTAGCCAATATGAATTCTGCAAGGTTTAGTCTCAGATGCCAAAAATATCTCTGCTTTGTTTCAGCGCTGATGTCATTACTGCTTACTCTATTTTCTGCTTATAGTATACGCCTCGAATATTGAAGGAAAACATATTTCCGAAGCCAAGGTTACATCAACCTCAAAGTGGGAAAACTATGAAAAACGAGATATCCACCTCTCTTCAAAATTCAGAAAATTCAGTCTCATGCTTTGCGATCAAGGGTTCCTATATTTTCTCTACTTCCGGAGGAAAAATAGCAGTTTTTGATCTCAAAAGCTTTGAGGTAATAAGCATTGTAGTGTTATAAGCTTTCAGGTCCTGCCTTTGTATCTGCATCATCAGATGACACTGTATGCGCAATACTGCAGAAAGTAGCTGCTTTTGGAAGTCATACACCTACGGCTACGTATTTTATATTTATCCCTGGTGATTTGCTTGTGGTTGGGCTAGATGATGGCTCCATCTTTGTCCATTGTTTATCCGCGAGAAAGGTAAAGTCTTCGTTTTCCATGGTAATCTTCTGAAACGGTTTGCCTGCTGCTAAAAAGTAATAATGAAATGTATTAGATCAAAGAAAAACTGGAGGGCCACGATCAGAGAATCACTTGCCTAGCGTTTTCGCGCTGTTTTAAAGTCCTCGTCTCATCCGGAGCTGATGGAAAGGTTTGTGAATTCATCATATGTTTAGACACACAAAACTGTTGTTTTCAAGATTCCTAAATTGTTTTCTTCGATCTCCAGCTCTGTGTTTGGAGCACAAAAAGCTGGGAAAAGCTAACAAGTAATGATGACTCCATGGATAACTTTTTCACCCGGCATAACCATGAGTCCTCCTCTTTAGTAACTCACATCGAGTTTGATCCGTATCAAATTGAGCTACTCGTGGTCCAAGAGAGGTCGATAACTGTACACAAAGCTCCAACTCTCGATTGCCTTTTCCAGGTAAAAGACAAAAACTTTCAAGACTCGCTACTCTGATAATACATTTCGTTGCATCTTATATAACCTTCAAACAAAACAATGCTATGCAGTGGGTACCAGATGAATCTGATCATACGTCAATAACTTCTGCTACATATTCATACGATGGTGAGATCATGTATGTTGGCTTAAGAAATGGATCTATAAAAATCATGGACTCCAAGGCCTTTGGGACGATTTGTCGAATCAGTCTGACTGCGTTTACTCAACACATCCCCAGCAGCTTCAGGTACAGTTACTTCTTCTGTTTGATCTAATAAAAAACTCAGAATGATGTAATCAAACTGGGAATGGCACAGGCTCGAGGTTTATCCGACTGTTGTAGCCACTCATCCTTCACATCCGAGCCAGATCTCTGTTGGGCTCAGCAACGGTAAGGTCATTGTTCTTCAGCCGTTGGGGGGAGTAGGATGGGGTGAAGTAACAGTTCCTCCACCTGAAGACAATGGAGCTTCTTCTGATGGCTCAAATGAGTCTTACTAACTAACCACATAGGTTTACTTAGTTTTTTGTATGCGTCTGTGGTTACTACTCTCTTTGTAGGGTAATTACTAATTAGTAGTTAATATTGCTCTTTTTGTATGTCTCTGTGGTTACTGCTCTTTTTGTAGCGTAATTAGTAATTAATATATTATGGCTTTTGTGCATTGTTCATCGCAATGCATCTGTGGAAAAAAAAAAAAGGTCCTGTACTTTTTTGGGTAATATTTATGAATGTTATTAACTGGAGAAGAATGCTATTGCTGGTAAATTTATTACGGTCACCTTTTGTTCTCAATACGATTAGGATGTTGCAGTGTTAATTCGTGAGAAAATAGTGTTTTTCATTATTATTTTTGTGAAAGAATATTTTGCACTTTGTAGTTATAATATTATTATATTGCTGCTTACACTCTTTTCATGTATTTGATAAGACATTGGTTTCTAATGTCAATTATATAGCTAGTGGTACCAGATTGTACATTTGTACTGTCACTTATGTTAACTTTTTTTTTCAACTGAATTTTATTAAAATCACATTGGAATACAGAGATGAAATACGTGATAGGATTTATCACGACACACAACTACAAATTGGTATTAAGCCTAAAAATCGGATCAATTTATCTAGAAAAGGAAGAGACAAACTATAAAGGATCTAGATACAAAAGGAAAATAACAGAAAGCACATTTCATTTAATTTTTGTCCTGGAATTTTTACACAAACAAGCGACCTGCAAAGCTATGAAAACACTCCCAATAACTAAAGCTTCTGCCATAACCAAACACCAATAAAACCCAAAGCTTGACGGGATTGAAGCCACTTCAAAGAAACCCAACTCCAGCCCAAAGTCGATTGAAGCAGCAAGAGAAACGGGTAGTAGCTGCAAGCAAAATCAAACAGGAAGACACCAACGGCAAAGGGGGCGGCCAAAATGACTTTTGACAAGTACACCAAAAAGAGCACATCCAAAACAGGAGCATCCAAGGGAAGGAGAAGAGGCAAGAGGCAACACCAAACCACACAACCAGATGAAAAAACTTACCTAACAAAGAGGGAGAAGAGCGGGAATGAAACCAAGCGAGGAGGCTGAGACCAGACCAACCTGCCGATGGATCCGACGAAAGAACCAAACACCACCCACAACCACTTCGACAGATCTAAAATTAAATTAGAGGAGAAGAAAAGCTTAAAAACCAATGAAAACCGCAAAGAAAACACCCAAAGAGAAAAAGAAACCAGATCTAAAAATTGTGGAACTAAAACTTCATGAGAAACCGGAAAGAAAAGAACAAACAAAAAATGAAATACGATAAGGAAACCGAATTTGACCGACATCGGAGCTATGGAAGCCTCCAATCACCGGTCGGATGAGGACGGAGGCTAGGGTGAACTCGAGGGAGAAAAGCGAGGGAGAACTCGAGGGAGAAAAGAGAAAAAAAAGCATGTTGTCATTCACTTATGTTAACTAATCATACTCTTTTATTATATAATTACTTTTTATTACAAAATTACTCTTTTATTACAAAATTAAGCATTATAAATAAAAAGCATTACAAATAGAAAAAACATTATGTATTTTGTAATTATTAATATTGAAATGAAGGGATAATACAAGTGTAAAGCAACCAAAGTTGAATAGTATAAAAAAAATGATGGTACATAATGTATATAGTTTTTCGAAAGTAAATTATAAAATGATTATAAAGATGTGTAATTGATTAGAGTTTTGAAGTTTGATTTCTGAATTTCGTCCTTTGAAAGGATGAGCAGTATATGGGTGGGCGAAAGTCCGGCAGAAGTCTGCACATATAAACAAATGAGTAAATTGGACTTCCTGGGAGGGAGCGGGGAAATGATTGAAAGAGATTTTTTCTCTGAAGGTTTTTCGACGCTTAAGTTAATGAATGTTTTACTAGAAACATAAACTTGATGGTAGGTTTGGTAAGGTGTTGGTGGTTCGGATATCTTATTCGTGATTTCGTGATACCTATTTAATGTTTGGTGAGGGTGAAAAGAGGGTAAATGGACCATAACGAGAGCGGGGTATGAACTCTCTCTACGTGGATGCTATGGTATACAACTGAGTGGAAAGAAAGACTTACCTTGATAAGCGTTCCTTCCAGGGGACAGTGAGCATTCTCTCTTCAGTCTCGCTGTTTGGTAGGGTTCGGAACGATCTTCGATGAGGCGGCAGTAGGAGATCTTCCTTCTACCTATCCTTTTGTGGTATCTTCTCTCCCTTTGGAGGTTTTAGGCTCTTGGATCTGGATTCGGTCGATCCCCTTTCTTTTGGTTTTAAGCTTTCTTTTAGACGCCTCTTGCCCTTATCAGTCCCATCCATGCAACATGCAGGGGGATAAGTAAGACGGTACAGCACGCTTGGCTTGGTAAGCCCGCCACCTGCTCGGGAACAATCCGCTAGGGAGCCGTTAGCAGGCTTAGACAGAGAAGTCAGCGCTTGGGCGGGCTCAGTAACCACGTGTCATCCTGGGGTTGGTAATGGTAAAAGTGTGCCCAAGAATTGTCCCGACTTCTCGACTGATTGGAAATGTGTTAGAGAGTCGATTCTTTTGTCGTTCTTGCAAGATAATTAAAACACGTCTGATACCGAGGGTTTTGGCTAGTCTGAAGCCGTGTTAGAGCGGTTCATCTTGACCCTACCGGACTTCTCGAAAGAGAACGGGTCTAGCCAAAGCGAAGCTAGATTCCCAGAGAAGCGGTTGAAAAGGCTCACCTACCTTTGCCACACATCCCGGAAGGATACAGGTCTAGTTGGAGCGAAGCTGGGCTTATGGAGAAAAAGTTGAAAAGACTCACCTGACCTTGCCATGCATTCCGGAAGAGTACGGGTCTAGCTGTAGCGAAGCTGGGTTTCCAGAGAAATGGTTGAAAAGGCTCAACCCGACCTTGCCACGCATCCTGAAAGAGTATGGGTCTAGCCGGAGTGAAGCTGAGTTTCCAAAGAAACAATTAAATTTTTGGAGGAATGGTTAGGTTCCCGGAAGAACTGTTAGATTGAGTCCTATCCCTGCTGGGGCATGCATCCCAAAAGAGTGCATCCTTGCCCGGAATAAAAGGATGTTAGGTTTCCGGATGAACTGTTGGTTTCCCACGAATGAGCATCTTTCTGGAGAAAGTTTACTCCTTGCTTCGTGAGGCACTAGATAAGGAGCCGTCTTCTTTCCCCATTGAGACTATAAGGATGTTATATCCCTATGCGATCATGGGGATCGATATAAAACAACAACATGATTTGAGACACCTACTCAAGAACCACAAATGATGCCTTGAGGAGGTGAAAAGATGGTCCCCATGCGCAGGTTGCTAACACGAGGCGAAGCGATTGCTTTTTTGAAGCTTGTGCCAGCCAGCTTGTGGCAAAACAGGGCGCTTCCCGAAGGTTGTTGTCCCAACTCCCTCACTGCCATAACAGTCTTCGCATTGTGTTTACGCAGAAAATTTCATAGTTTTAAAATCGTGTTAGAGAGGGATTTGTTTGACAAGAGAAAGCCCTACAGAAGGAGCAACCTCAATTCTTCGATGGCGCCCTGGAAGGCAAGCGTGTCCCTGGAAGGAGTGCAATGGAGGGTCACATGGTCCATGGGAGGGCTGGCGGGGAAGAAACAGAGGTCAACGGGACCAGAGTCCCAATTCCCAGAGGAAAAATACCCAGGAAGGCTGATGCGTCCCCGGTTGGAACACACCAAAGAGTTGCATGGTCCCCAGAAGAAGCTGACAAAAAGATCCAAAGGTCTGCGGGACCAGAGTCCCAATTCCAAAAGGAGAGATGCCCCGAAAGGCTAATGCATCCTTGGAAGGAGCACACCAAAGAGCTGTGCGGTCCCCCGGAAGAAGCTGGCAAAATGATATGGGAGTTCTACGGGACCAGAGTCCAGAATTCTCGAGGGAATGGTGCCTTGGAAGGTGTGCAAGTCCACATGGGAGAATGGTAAGAGAAATTTGGACCAAGTTTTTGATAAAAATTGGATCGCAAGCATGATGCCCCCGGAAGGTAAAGTAAATGCAAACAAGGATATACTAGCGGGAAGGTGACAAACATACATAGGAAAGTAAAGTGTAGGGCCACGGGGTCCCGTAAGGTTAGGCGATAGAGTAAACATGTAAACAGGGATTCAAGCAGGCAATAAATCAGGCAAGCACTTATGCAGGGCATCATTTAAACATGAGACTGGCCAATCATGCGAGCACAGAATCACTCAAACAGGGAATCAAGCAAACATGCAAGAAGGGAGTAAGTCAAACAGAAAATCAAGCAATCACGCAAGTAGGGAATCACTCAAACAAGAAATCAAGCAATCCCGCAACCAGGAGAGTGGGAGGACGCATGCGTCTAATGAAATAATGGCGGATTTGCGCAGACAAACAATAGTGGACGAGCCCGCGCAAATTTCCCCTGGGGAAGATACCTGTCTCCTGTAGGGTCTGAGAATTTATACCATTGGTTTTGACTTGCCGTCGATAAGGATGGTGACTCGCTTGTGTTTCCAGGGACTTCTGATGTTTCCGGCTACTTCTCCGGCTCGGGAGTTACAGTTCTCCCAGGCGGGGGAAGATCCTTTCGTTGGTGGTGCGATCCACGTGGCAGACTCTTGTTCCCCTGCTATGTGGGAAATCACGCCTCACTATTTGTCTTGCTTCTCATGAACTGGTGTTTCTTCCCTTTCTTAAGTTAGGAATCATCACATAAACTGTTCCAATAATCGGAACATCGCTTTGGTGTGCGGCTCAAAACGAAGTTAATTGTAACTTTTCCCTTGGTTTTTATTGTCCCTTGCTGTTGGCCCGAAGTTTGCAGCTGCCTCCTTGCCTTCTGCTGTCATTATAAATAGGTGGAACGAGGGGTGACTTTCTTCACTTCTTCTATAAAAGCGTTCCTTGACCATGCTCTATTTTTCTCTCTTTCCAATCGGATCTGTTTTCTTCTTTCGCGGTTTGTTGGCATGATCGACGAGGATCCCATTATTTTTGATGCTAAGGCCAGACATGCCAGACGACAGTCCCTCTTGGCTCATCTCTAACTTCCTGAAGGTATCCTCAGACTCAAAGGCATTTCGCCAACTCCCGGGGTGGGACCAATCACAAACGTTTCCGTCGATCAAAGCATGAGTCTCTCTCCAGGGCAAGCAATCCTCTGCGGCCTCCTTCTCATCAGGCTCTATAACCTCGCCTCCCCGAGGGATCTGCGATGTTCTTGGCCCTTTTTTGCTAGAATTGGGGTTTGGTGCTCCGTCTAGGGGATCTGTGGCGTCTCGGAGCGAC